CCCCCCCCCCTCCCCCCCCCAAGTACACAAGACAAATTTCCCATAACTCTTTTAGTACTGATGTGCTTCGGCACGACTATGGCTACGGTACTATGACAGTTGGAGCACGTTTTCGGGCAGTCTGATGAACGAATATGTTTTCCCCAGTCTGACAGAGCCCCCCCCCCCAATAGTAACGACCAAGTTTCTAAACTGATGCGCTTCGCTCCGACACCTCTATCCCCCCCTCTCCTGCAAAGGAAAGGATGATGGCACTACCAGCTTCTGCTTCATCCTTGTCAAACGTAGCGAGGGCTACCGGCAAAAACCCGGCATATCGCTCCGTCCCAGCATTGTAGGGGCGCGAGGTCAAAGGTCTAACGACTACGGCCATGCGTTTACACGAGTATACATTCCTCTCCTGCTTACGAGCTGCGGTTAAGGATTGGGCTGGCGGTAGCGGTCGCGTTAGCTTTGCCCGACGACGCTCCGGATCCTGGTCCCTCCCCAATCGCTCGCTCCAGCCGCGTCGCCATCCATTCACCGTTCGGCGTGAGCGAATATATCTGGGGGGTGGGGGGTGGGGGAGATAGAAATGGTTTTTATGTACCACGGGCATCGATTCTGCCAGCTCTAAGTTAAATTCGTGCTTGCACGAACATGGTTGGCACGGTCCAGCCGAGTGGCACACCACACCCGATGTTTTTCCTAACCAAATCCGGTACCTACAAACACGGTCACACCACGCGTCTTGAAAACTGAGAAACAGCTCGGCAAAGTCCGTCCGGGTGCATGCTTTTGAAGATTCACCTGCCTGCCGTATCGGTTGAAACAAGCGCAAAAGCGGAGACAACGGAGAGGGGTGTGCCCGCGTTCAAGCCCCTGCCAACCTCATGAATCCAATCTAGCGGCCATCAGTGACCATGGGGCATGTGCAAACCGCTTTTACATGCCACTGCTTCCTACGCTAATTTTCTCGACGTTGGCTAAGGTTGGTGCCCCCCACACATCCCCCTGGGGAACAATACTCCGCCCTCTCGAGGACGCGTAGTCAATGCTTCAACCGCAAACGCATGCAACACATGAATACGCCCTCCACCCACCCCCTTGGAATAGCCAGGAGAAGACGGTAGCTGTACTGGGCCATAGGAGGTGGGTTGAAAGGCGGGAAGTGATATCGATAGGATGGAAAAGCTAGGGAGAGCATTTTTAAGCCACCTTTTCGGCAAAGTAGCAAGGACCGATTGGCCATCAGTGATCGGTCCTGTGGGAACAATGCCCCGTCCTCTCGAGGACGCGTGGTGAATGGTCTAACCGCTGAGGCATGCAAGACATACGAGTACGCCCCTCCAATTTTTTTTTCGGACATGCTCATACCGCCCGCGGTGTGTACAGCACTCACAAAAGTCATCTCATCCCTGTCTACACTACATCCCCGTAGCCCAACACCACGCGCTGCTATCTCACAGTCTTGGCATTCTTGGCGAACTCCTTGCGCCACAGAGCGGTAAGCCCGTTGGCAGCGTCCGGCCCTTTCCACTTTTCCACCCGGTGCAGCTCCACCTTGAGCAGGGCCTCTCCCAGGAGCCGGCGGTACCAACCGGCCTTTATCTTGCCGCCTTTCGGAGGGGAGGGAGGAGGGTCGTGTGCGCTGGGCGCTGCTTTGTAGTCGCCCCCAAGCGGCGATAGGTCGAGCTCGTGGAGGGCCATCTAAGGGGGTTGGGGACAATCGAGGGCGTGAGCAGACAAAACACCTGGGGCTGATTACCGCCCATGTCGTTGTTGTTGCTGTTGAAACACGTATTCTTGTGGCTGTGGTTGTGTTGATTTCGTTGCAATACGATTGTTGTTGTTTTCGTGGTTGCTACCGCTGGGGGGTGTCATGGTTGCCTTGACTACGAGACAGTTGTAAACCGGCCCCTCCCTGCACTCCAGCGTCCTCCGTCTCTTGCACCGACCCGACCCGACCGACATGCCACGATTTCCGAAAAAAAAAAATTAACAGCCCAACGCGAACACGCCTCAGTCCAAACAAAAACCGACCGTCGTGCCTCTACACGATCCCTCTTAACCCCAGAGTTCTTCTGTGGTGCCTTAGTTTCGCGACCCGTAGGTGACTGGAATGTGTCTTCCGTCGGCGTCACCCCGACAATTTGGACAGACAAGATGCAACCACTTTACTGGTTCTGGCAAGTCTTCGGGAGCAAGAACTGGAAAACAAAGCGTACAACTCCTCCCTGTCAAGCGTGTTGACAGAAAAGCTTAAGAGAAGGCAAACAACGTTCTCGGAAGACGAACATGTACAGCAACAACAAATTGATACATGTTCATCTTCGGATGTGTTGCTTTTGAACAGAGACCGAAGCGTTTTTCTTATGTGTGAAGACATCAACAACAACAAATTGACACATGTTCATCTTCGGAGATGTTGCTTTCGAACAGACACCGAAGCGTTTTTCTCACGTGTGAAGACATCAACAACAACAAATTGACACATGGTCGTCTGCCGAGAACGTTGTTTGCTGTCTCTAGGATTTTCTGTCAACACGCTTGACAGCGAGACTTGTACCCTTTGTCTGGTTCTCCTTTGTCTAGTTCTTGCCGAAGACTTTGTCAGAACCAGCAAAATGGTCGCATCTTGTCTAATGTCTCCACAAATTAAAAAAATGTTCCGGTCTCCGTTTAGTACCTTCTAAAATCCGTACTGGTCTATCTGACTCGGACGCCTTCCGTGGTCTCGAGCCAAACACCCAAAAAGGTTGCACCTTTCTGGAACCAAAAAAACGAAATAGAATGGACCCAGAAAAAGTCCTCCAGATGGGCCAATAGCGTATGTAGGCGAAAATAAACATCATGGTACAATAGTCGCAAGACGTCTCAGGCTCTCACCGGATCGCACGCCTTGCTGGATTTTCCTTTACCCTTCCCAGCGGCTTTCTTGCGCTTGCCGCCCCCGCCTCCCATCTCCTTGAAGTGTTCGTCGCAGTACACGCTCCTGCCCCAGATAGGACGATTACGCGGATTAGAAAGGACGTGAAAGGTTTTGGTACGTACGTATGGCATGAGCGTTGGTACATCGCCAAAGCTATGGGTGGTGATGGGTGGTCGTTGTGTGCCCGAACACAAAATACGATAACTCTGAAGCATGCGTGGTTCGTACTTACCAAATGCGGAAAAAAAAGTTAGGACAAGGCATTCATCCCGGGATCCAGCCCAATCCCCCACCGTAAGGGCAATGGACGCTCTGCAGCAAGCCCTCATCGAATCAACCTTAAAAGATCCAGTACAATATGACAACGAGGGCACCAACAACCTAACGACACGTTTCCGGACAGCCCTCGAAGAGGTCGATCACCCTCGTCGGCGCTTACACCCCCGCAGCTACTACGAATACATGGAGACTTTGAATAATCGGTTCTGGGGGAGGCTTAACTCTAACAGCGACTTCATGGTGCTCAAGAGTGTTTACTACCTCAGGAAGGTGGCGGTTTTAACCCTCTCGCTGAGGTCTCCCATGCTCTTCGTGGCATAGGCGTTGCAGCCCGGGCTGCTGCATATCGGCCGCTCTCCCAGCTCCTGCAACAAAACCAATCGCACACATGCTGAATATTTTACTTGGATGCCACTGGCACATTCGTCAAAGGTTTGAACCATTGAAGGTTGCTGCGGTGATCCTATCGTTCGCCACGCTCATGCTGAAAAAAAATCAAGCTGCATCAAGCCGTAAAATACGCCGGTCTGAATAGGTGACCCAGATGAGGCTTCTGGGCATAGGTTCATCGTCGGTGGTGTAGTGTTACAACGGTGAGCTTAACGCCTGAAAAGGGCGAGTTGGCAGCAGTACTGTTTGCAGCCGAAGCAGCAGAGAGATCCCAAACAACAAGGGGAAACAAAAAAAAAACACCGCTCATCGACGCAGCACACCCATCCCCCCCATTATATATAGTCTACAAGCACCATCAGTAAGAACAATCACGTGTAGGCCACCACCGCCAATGATTGCACGAACGAGCAGACAGGCCTGCAATACTGTACCACGAGACGACGCGGCTTTGGCTAGTCGGTGCGGGCATACCTGTAGCTGTGCGATGGTTGCTTTCTCGTCCAGATCCTTCCTCGCCACACAGTCAAACTTATTGTGGTTCGTGAGGTAGGCCATGGAGCACCAGGCGAAGTTTTCCACCTCTCCTGTAGGCGCGTCCGGCGAAGAACCGGGAAATCTTTAGTCAGTAGCCGTTAGCGCGCGCCACGAGTTCGAATGTCTCTATTTGCCTTGCTACAGGGCCAGGCACGCCACTACGCTCTCTCCACCCCGGAGGTCTAAGCCAGCCACTCTCCTAATCTGGTGTCCCGTGACCCCCCTCTCACCCTCGAGAGAACCAGGCCATGCGCAACTGCTGTAGTGGTATCAAGCCATACGAATCGTCTCGGTTTTCGCCGCAACCACACCAGCACCATGTCTCCGGTGCAAACCCTTGCGCGAGATGCCACTGTACCCCTACCTTAAAACAACCGTCCCGTCGACCTCGGTCACCCAGCTCCTACTTGCCCCCAAAACTCGAAGAAGCAGTTTGGGCACACAGAACCACCGCCGTTGCCACATTAAAAAAAAAAAAAGTTGGATTTTCACAATTGTGTGCGGTATGTAACCCACGCAGCAGCAGCGGGCACTTCGACGTTTGAACCCTCCCAGGCAAGGCGCTGCTTGGTCTTCACTGGGATGCGCGTCGTCAACGTCCTCAAGACTGGGACCAACATGCGAGGGGCAACCCCGCCTCCTAATTCTACCCGCTGCCTCCAGTGGCACTGTCCTCACCCAGAACGATCTCGTCTCCTCGGTGGGTGAGGTCCTCCTCGCAGAGGGGGGCGGCCAGACGTCTTATCTCCTTCTCGGTGAACCACGCCGCTGGTGCTGCTGCTGCTGGTGGCCCCTTCCCTCCATTGGACTCGGAAGTGACGTCAACAACCGTTGCTCGGCGTTTCACCTCGCGGCTGTCGTTGGCGTAGGCGTTTGTCGTTGTTGTGGTTGTTTTGTTGTTGTTGGATGTTGGTGTCATTGGTATTGGATTGTTGTTGTTGCCATTAGCTAACAAGCGCGTGCCAAGTAAATCCGATACACGATCGATGCAGAAACTTTTGGCTCACAGCAGTGCCGCAAGGCAAAGGGCCTCAATAATCGATCCCCACAAAATACTGGAGCAAAAAACGCAGTCCCCAACCACCGGACGACGGCACAAAACAACGACCCCCCTGTGGCACGAAACACGCCTTAGGCCCACATCGGTCCTCTTCAAAAACTGAAGCCACTGATCCAGTCGGTTTTGGGGACACACTACAAAAAATTAAAATATGACAGAAAGTGCTGGGATATCCGGGCGAAACGCCTCGAATACAGGACGGCAAAGCACCTTCGACAGCGAGGCGCGGGGAGGATGGATGCTTCAAGAACAACGAAAACTATCTAATTCACAGCAGGGTAAGCACCGACAACTCCCGCACCGGTGCGTAACACACACCTCATGGCCACAAGGATGGCCGCCGCCGATGCCACGAAGGTCTTGTTCGACGGCTGGTGCTTGGGGTTTCGAGCCGTCACCTGTGCCGCTAGGTGCTTCGCTCCCATCTTTTGGATCTGTTCTCGGGAGGGATCCGGTGTCTGGTGGTTAGAACACAAGGCACACATGCGGCTGCTCCATTTCTACCCGTCCCGCCCCCAAAAAAAAACGGAGCTTTCCAGAAGCGTTGGCCTCCTCGTTGCACAATATGACGTATTACCGGTGGCGGTCATACTGCTGTTGCTGCCTCTACAAAAAGTATGCCTGGTTCCACGCGACATCTACTTATCCACTTCTGTTTGGGAATGCAGGGGCCATTGTGCAACTCGCGTTTGTATCCGAATGGCCCTTATATTTCCGAACGGAGAGGTACGTGGTGCCCTACGGCGACAGGTCAAGCCGTGGGCTAGGAAGAACCCTTCGCACACCGCACCAGGCCGCCGTCGTGCTATAGCCTAGCCATGGACTAGTCCACCGCCGAGCACCGTCTTCAAACAAGCGGGCGGCGTGCGGCACCTGGTCACCCGCATCTCTAGAGTAACTTATGACGGGGTGGGTTCATGGATTGTCGGGCTGATTTTCCCGTGACGGACCAACAGCAGCGACACCAATCGCAACAACGCCCAGCCGTACATCACAACCAAAAACACCGTCGCCACCAACGAAAAGATACAGCAGCATCGACACCATCAACAACAACAACAACAACCATAAACTCTGCGACCGACGGAATCAACTAAAAACGACACCGCAGAAACGCACCATTTCGCCGACCCCGGGGGTGCAGCTGAACTTGTCCTTGGTGTCCACGGCCTCAAGAGAGAGGCTGAGGCGAGCCACCACCTCTCGAAAGAGAGTCGCGGTCAGGCGTGCGCTGCTGCTGCCTCTGTTCTTTCTCGCCTTCTTTTGCTCTTCCTATTGTTGTTGTGTTGTAGGTTTGGGTAGGACAAGTTGGGGGGGGGGAATTGCACAGATTGTGTTTCGTTTGTGTCTGCCCTTTGATGGCTCGACTTCGAAAAGGTGAGGAGGGGGACCGAAAATCTTATGTAAAGTATGTCTACGTTCGTCTTTCATTGTGTGCATTGGTCGATATGAATAGGCATACGGTGACCCATACGCACTGTCAAATGATCAAACATTATTTATCATCAGCTACACTGTTAACATACCAAACAAATCCTTCATGGTACACCAGCAGTCTCCCAAAGGTGGGAACGCTAGACACGGGGACATGCAGAGGACGGACACAAATAAGAGAGAGATAACCATCATCTGTCTTGATGTCTTGACTAGGCAAATATATCCTGCACAAGCGCAACGCGAGTGTTGGCATACACTGGGGCCTGTACCACAAACAGTACTTCTCGCACATCGACCTGCGTACAGCAGTATTGTCGTTTGTCGGTGCGTGTGTGAAGTCGGCGTCCTTGGCTCAACCCCCGCGAGCGCCAGTTGCGGAAACATGGACTCCTTTACACATTCGCCCCATACATTGCTCTCCCTCCGCAGTTTGTAGTAGACTCTTCGTAGTACTATACCACGCATGGAAGGAGAACCTACCTTGTAGAAGTACGACGGAATTTCCCGACCAACCATGTACACACGATCATCTACCGAGTTATTGTAGCTGCTCTGGTGCGTGGTTTTCGCCCCCTGCTGCTGTATTCTGGCGCGATTCTACGCATGCACCCGGATGTTTCATGTCAAAATCCTAACGGGCGCCCTCCACACAAAAACGCGGTCCTTCAACTCAAAACAAACATGATCTCACTAGGGCTTCTCTCGGTGTCCACCTGTAACTCACGTCCACCAGCCACATCGAAACAATTAAACTCATCAGTTGGGGTGTGGTGGTTGCTGTGATGTGCGGGACATCGTTTCTTGTAATTAAACTCACCATTAGACCGCGAATGAGCCCCCAGTGTCGGGAACATCGCCCGTGCACGCAGGAGACGTCTTCCCATCTCGTCGGCGGTGGCTTGGTGATGGGGAAAGCCAGCATCCGAGGGTCTAGCGCCCAATCCGAAGCCATGTTCTCTCCCGTCGCAGCTGCGTTGGTGTGCCGGTGTCTTTGCTGCCGTCCCCACGACGAAGGAGCCGCCGCTGCATCCCACACAGGCCCAAGACCTGCCGCATCATCATGGGGAACGCAGGGGGTTTGAGATTTGAAGTTGTTGCTGTCGGCCACTACAAACACCGGGACACGGGCAGAGTGTGACAGAGCGAGAGGCTACCCACCCCAGACAGCAGCAGCCCTGAAGGAGATGTGTACCGGAGTCCGGAGTCCGCGCTTGCCGTGGCGAGACAAGAGGTTCAACGGGCCTTGGCCAGAGTATTTGTGCCTCATTTGTAAGGAGGCGTGTTGTTCGGCGTCCCCCGACGAGACTGTAGAGTTTTTTGGTCTCCGGAGGCCGGCTCTCTCATGCTCTATTCTATGAAGGGCGACAGACAGACAGACAGACCGTGATTTGAACCGTCCCGTGGGGGCGCGTGTCGTTGCGGGAGTGGATCTGCGGTGATGTCCGTCGGGAGCAGCAGTGCCACAGGGCATGCGCACGCACAGCAGCCTCAGCAGCAGGAAGATCAGGAGGATCTGTTTCCCCCTGACAATTTTTCCATGGTTGACGCTGGCATATACCGAAGTGAGTCCAGGTCCAGATACAGCCCCAGCGCACCGTTGGTTTGGCGTGCGCTGGTGTTCCAGGTAGCAGAGAAGGCCGTAGATGATTGCTGTGTCTACGGCACATGGCCTTCGTTGCCCGCTTCGGACGGTGATAGAGAAGGAGATTCCACGAACGAGAGCTACTGATGTTAGCGACACATAATTTCTCATCTCTATCGTCTTGTACGATGATCTTGTGTTGTGCCGATGTGCCGATGCATGCTCTCCCGCGGGCTCTTGTCTTTCGTGCATTCGCTCCGGAATCCTCGACGGTATGCAGGTTCATTCCCGATGAAGAAGCACTTCCCGTTCCTACGAAAGCTCGGTCTGCGAACGATACTGTGAGAGAAACAGAGATCGAGACGACGTCTTTCATGTTCTCATTGGTATATAACAGCACCAGTCTCTTCGCGTCTCGTATTTCAGCCGGTCGCAGGATAGTTTTTTTTTTTTTTTGCGTCTGCTGTCAGGTACCGCATGTTCACATGGTCCGGGAGTGAGGAGGGTTTTGCTCAACTCTCGCTTGAAAAGGAGCGAAAAGTTCACCACTGCCATGTTTGCAGAACGCCACCCGACCCCTGCTCGTGGTTGCACACCAAGTTGTCCGTATGGTTAGCTAGATGACTTCGTCTGATGCACCCCCGCCTCTCGTTCTCCATTTTCACAACCCGCCGTCATGTTGTTACGTGCCCTCTGGCGCAGAACGCTAGTGATCGAAGAGCTCCCACCGGCCAACCTGGACTTCGTTCAGGCTCACGGGATCCGATTGGTGCAAATCGGGGTTGAAGGAAACAAGGCAATAGAGAAAGCAGGCGGCCTTGACACAACAGAACAAGTGGACGATAGGATGCAATCCGACCAGAGTGGGGGCTGTCTTTTGTGGTAGAGTTGCGGTACCGTCCGTCTGTGCGCCTAACCCAACCGGTACACCCGCTAGGAGTGTTTCCGTCTTCTCCTTGCTTTCTCCCCTTTGTCTTTCTCGATTTCATGTTTGGCTCGCCACCCTTAAAAGTTGCGTATTTCCCTCGTGGATCTACGGTAGGTGCTTTGCTCGCCCCTGCGCGCTTCCCCTCTGATCCTGACCGTGTTTAGCCTAGAGCACTCTTTCTTGCGTTTTCCTTGCTTTTCGTGTGTCATACAGTCCATCTGATCCGTTCGGTCCTTACGACTACGCCATTACTTCTGTGTCTTCGCGGAACATCGCAGGAGCCGTTCAAGTACATCCCCCTCGAGGAAGTGAAGTTTGCCGTGCGAGAAATGTCAGGCAAGTGATCCAGCGAGGCAGAAAACCTACTGCGAGCACGCTGACTGCTGTTGCTCGTGTTGTGGCAAATGCATGCCGACCCTGGCAGCTGCTGGTGCCACTGCGAAAACCATGAAACTGTCTCCTGGAGGGTAGAGTCAAGGCTCATTCGGTTACGAAGCAATGCCAAGCGGGGTTGGGTGTTGTCCGACGTGTCGGAGCGTCAGTCGGTGTAGATCTACCGTACATTCATTAGATGACCATCCGTGACGCCTGTTGCTGTTTGTGAACACAGATGCGAGTAACCACCCGATGCTGGTACACTGTAACAAGGGGAAACATCGCACAGGATGCCTAATCGGCTGCTTCAGAAGGGTGAGAGGTCCTGTGGCCCTCTGTTTATCTTTGATTGGCAGAAGCACGCCCTAAGGCTCTGGGGTCATCGTGGACGGGGATGGTGTTTTAAAACGGTCAGAATTAGTCCATAAGGTTCAGCATCATCGCTGGTTGCTCACTTTTTCTCTCCGCTATGCTCCGTCCTCTCGGGGGCGCGTGGTCAATGATGTAACCGCTGAGGCATGCCCAACGTGAGTACCCCCCCCCCCCCACCCCCCCCAAACCACTCATCCGCCTTCATGCTTGCTGTCTTGCTTCGCTGGGACGAGCAGACGCAAGGATGGGCGGTGAGCTCGATCTTCGAGGAGTACTCCCACTTCGCTAGTCCCAAGGCCCGGCTCGTCGACCAACGGGTGAGATCCTAAGGTTCACACCCATGTTTTTTTTCCCTGTTGTCCTAACCATTTTCTTGCGAGTTTTTTTTGGAGTACCGATCCTCACAGCATCTTCTTTAGACATACATAGTCACCGAGGATTTCGTAGAGTGCGGATCCCACGACGCGCTTTGACTCGCTAAGGCGACCGGTAGTCCCTATTTTCAAGGATGTTCATGTTGAGATTTTACGTGAAGATTGTGAGTAGTCGACCAGCTAGGGAAAAGATCGAGCGCCACCGCCTTTTGAACACGCGGCCATCGCAACGTCGCTCGTGGGTTTTCTGTCGTTGAAGGGTTGACAGTAGTTCAAGCAGCCAGGCTGGAGGTTGCTTTAGACAGATCCTCGCCACCGCTATGTCGGGGAAGTACCGGCTTTGATGTGTCGGCGACAAATCACGCCTTTCTATAGCTCTCCCGGCGTGGGCATTCGGCGCATGACCTCGAGAAAAAACATCGACGTCCACCAAGTTCCTCTAAACACGACTCTTGTACTTGCCCCGCCCTGACACTGCTGTCCCCTCCTCTGACTGCGTTGCCCTGCGGTTTGTTTTCCCCCCTAACAACGCTCCCAGTACATCGAACTCTTCGAGCCCGAAGACGAAAATGCCGCTTCCAAAAAGAGTGTGCTCACCTCTCGGATATGGATCTCGGAGCCCGCAGATCCACCGGGCAAGCTTGCGAGATAGCGCAGTTTTATGTGCTGTGCTGTGTTGGGTATGTGTGAGTTTTTTTGCTCTTCGTTCTGTTGCTGCTGCAGTCGATTTCCCGAGGTGGGGCCCGTGCAAGTTGCGGTGCACACATCGGTAGACATCGCCGCGTCTGTTGAGTGTTATTTAATGTTTTGGTGTAGATCTTGGCGTGGGGGGATTGTTTTCGTGGATGTGCGGACCTGGCCAAGAAATACACATACATGACATGTGAGTGCATCGGTGTTGTACTTGTACATGAAAATCGTGTGTGTGCTGCCATCGGGGGGGGAGCACTACTGTGCGAGGGCCATGACCTGGGGTTTGCCGCGTTGGGACGCGCTTCGCTCCATTTGTGGAATGTACATCTCGGGTTGGGCCATCTTCTGCGGCAGCCTCGGCCAGGATACCGTCGTATGTTAATGTGGTGGTCCTCGTTCGTGCCATCATGCGTGACGGCACACGCCTCGAAGACCAGTCAGGAGCGTGAGATTCAGCAGAGTCCAATGAATACTTGTAGAGACAAGATTCTTGCGTACCGAAAACTCGGCAGCAGTCACTAGCACGGGAAAATAGCCCATGCGTGGCCACAGGAGCTCACCAAAATATCCCGCACTGACCGGAAGGTCGAGACCTCGGCGGGATTACATATAGTCCCCGCCGGGCTACCTCTAGGAGGAGGATCTTTCGCAGAATTTTACCGTCGAGAGTGTGCACGTTGTGTTATCCAAACTCAAGGTCGCTATAGGCAGTTGGTGAGGTATCTATCTGTGTGCGGTAAAAAAGCAGCAGGCCACGGATTTGCTGCGACGGAACTATTCGTAAGCTTCAAGGGATTGTTTTGATATTCGCACATTGACATGGAGACCATCACTCTCTACAAGGTCGTGAGGTGAACTGTGGGGTCGGGAGGAAGGCAAGAAGATACTTATTTCGGGTGTAGAAGCACAAAAAAGTACGCCTCAAACACATGTACGAGCAGTTCCCGTTTTCTAACACGTTTCACGGAACAGCCGGCTCTCGCTGACTAATCCCTGAAAAGCCCCCGACGACAGGTATTTTCCAGAAATTAACAATTTGGAGACTCTTCGATGTATCATGTGCTATGTATCACTTTCCTGCCCCCTAACTCTACTGTCGAACACGCAGCCTCGTGCCTGACCGTGGCGTTCATACATTGCCGAGGGTATACGCACCCCTCGACTTATAATTGGAAATGGCACCACCCTTCTCCTGGCCACAGTTTCCCTGGCCACCTTCTCCTTGTCCGCCGTCTCCCCTGGCCATACGTCTCTCCACCCCCAACCAGCCCTTGGGGGGATGGCGTCCTCGGTGATACACATGCACAATAGAAACAGTGGGGAGCACGGCAGCAGGCCACCCGTGTCATCGCATCCAACTCCCGAGCCAAGACTTGGCACCCCCGTCCCCACCGTCTCCGGCGCTCCGCCGGCCCCCCTTGGGACTCCTCCACACCACCATCGCCCCGTCCTTCGCCCGATCGAGGCGCCGGGGGGGGGGGGGGCGCTTCGTCCACTGTTTTCAGACACCCCTCTTCGTGTTTGGCCATGCTAGCATCCACCCACCGGGTGACGTCCTTCGCGAGCTTGCGGTTGGTCTTGAGAAGCGTTTTCGCTTTCCGTTCGACCTCGGCCTCGAACCGCGTCGCCTGCGCCCTGCTTTCTTCGTCTCCGGACGAGCGCACCATGCTCCTGAAAAAAACACACATTGGTAAAAAATTCAACGATAGGGGGGAAGGGATCCGTGAGGAACTACTTCAGTTGCAAATGATATGCGAGCGAAGAACATGCTTAAGAGGCGCCACGGAGAGGAGTGAGCTACTTGAGGAACTCCAGACAGCAAGAATAGTCATGAAGGACATACTTGCCAAGAGCTATATACATGTGAATGGTCTGAGACGTGGAGCTCGTTCAGAGCCCGGTAAACGAAAACCCAACGTCCTACATGCGGCGCAAAGTCAAGCTACAGATGGACCGAAGCGGAGTGGCGACGGGACCTCAAGGTTTTTGGCTAAAGTGTGATCGACCGACATGTAACACACCTGGCATCTTTTCGAGCCTGGCCCACGTGGTGCTGCGCGAGGTGACTGCCGCCCCTCATGCGTAGGGCCGTTAGGCAGTGCGCCCGAAGCTTGGCTCTCTCCTCCCGGGGCCGTTTCTTCTGGCCCATCGTGAGCCTCGCTAAGCTCAGCACCAGCGTGCACGCCTCCACAACCTAGTAGTGGAACGTATTGAATCAGAGCAATGTTTCGATCCAGAAAAAAAAAAAGGAGTTCCGTGTGTCGATACAGGAGGCGTTTGCAGCTGGTGGGGACGACATATCACTCTCCGCGCCAGCGAAGTGCCTATTGTAGCTCGGCGTGACTTCGCCCCAAGCTCTCAACAAAAACTGCACGAGAGGGTGTTAGACAGGGTTTTTGTTCCCAACAAATTAAAACAGTAAGGACAGGAACACAGACGACTCGAAAAAAGAAAATGCGTTCTACAGAAGTCAACTCCCTTGTACATTCGCGACCCGGTCTTCGGTCCCGTTCACATTCGCACCCTCGCATTCTGAAGAGCATCGAGGCATACATTGCACATTGACAGCAGATATTGCCCAGCACGCGTAGACGCTACATGTCAGTGATTAGCCACCGCTGTGATCAGCTCCGCTCCCCACCTCTTCGTGCCTCCCTCTCCTGAAAGAGCAGCGCGCCAGGTTAAGCCTTGCGGCGCACCAGACACACGGAGATAGCGGCACGCCCAGCACCCTGTCAGGCGAGACGCCGTCTTCCTCGTCGTCTTCTTCCTCCCCTTCTTGCTGCTCCTCGTTGCCACCGGCGGCGCTCTTGACTGCTGTTTCATCGTAGATGACGTCGTATGTCGGACACGGACCATCATCCTCGTTCGCGTCGGAAACCATCCCGGAACGGTAGCAAGTGGAGGTGGCCCCGTTAGGAACTCTCACGAGCACGGTTGCGCCTGTGTTGTTTTGATGGGAAACGCAAAGTTGGTTGTTGGCAAACTAGAGGCGCAGGAAGCGTCGGCAGGGTGCAGGATGGGAGAGCGGATTGCCGCCAGAGCATACTTATGTAATCGCAGAGAAAACACACTTCGCGGTGATAGGCGGGGGCGGCACTGGACTCCGGAATACGGGAACAACATCGATCGATCACGGAATCATTTCATCAACAGTAGGGCCGCAGGCGGCGTGCACCCCCCCCCCCCCCCCCCCCCCCCCCCCCCCCCCCC